GGTTTTTACATTTCTGATTTTAGGATTTTTATATTTAATTCAGTTTGGATTTTTATGTTAGAGTTTTCTTCTGCTTCATGGTTGGCTTTTATGGGGAGAACTTTCATTAGCAGATTCTTACTTTGTTTTCTTCTTAAAGTAGCTATGCATTGTTGATTGAATTTTTTCCCTACCCTTAGGCATTTTGTGGACAGAGTTTCTAGTTCCTAATAAATTGCATTCTCTTTTTCCCCTCAAAGAGGAAATAAGGTTGGTGCCAGACAGGGTGGGGTGGAGGGACAGGCAGGTGATCAGCAGGGACACTCTTTTATTTTTAATTTCAAATCCATGGTGGACCAGTATTTTTGTAAACTACAATAAAAATGAATTACACTGAAAATAAAAATTTTAAAATGACATAAAAACACAGGCCCAATTATTTTATTATATTTAACAGATAAGATTGTATTTTAAATAATCAGAAGAAACAAGAAAAAAATAAAAACTAGTCTTTGAAAGTATATATAGGAGATTAAGAGATAATCAGGGCCAGGCGCGGTGGCTCACGACTGTAATCCTAGCACTCTGGGAGGCCAAGGCAGGAAAATCGCTTGAGATCAGGAGTTTGGGACCAGCCTGAGCAATAGCAAGACCCTATCTCTACCAAAAATAGAAAAACTTAGCCAGGCGTGGTGGCGCATGCCTGTAGTCCCCCTACTGGGGAGGCTGAGGCAGGAGGATCACTTGAGCCCCAGGAGTTGGAGGTTGTAGTGAGCTAATGATGATACCACGGCACTATAGCTGGGGCAACAGAGTGACACTCTGTCTCCAAAAAATAAAAATAAAAAATCACTACTCATAACGTTGTCATTCCACAAATGTAATTAAAGTTATGAATCAAAGCAATTTCCCCATATGAAATGCCTATGTGCACACCTTGAATAAAAACTGCATATATCAAGAAAGTTTTTAATGTGACAAATGAGCTTGGTTGCTTGTTAACCTATCTAATTTAGGTTGGATTGTTGACAGCGCTACATGCAGGGGATGATATATAGCTAAAGTAGTTCTATGTTTTGTCTTAATAACATGTAGAGTAGAGACACTAGTCTCACAGAGGTATGTTGACAGGATGGAAGGAGATATTTTAAAGTAATTCACCAAGCTCAGGATATTCATTTTTAATTTTCATCCAAAATAAAAAGCAAGTGATGATTTATTCTCAAAATATGTCTTCAAACCTTTCTCCTGTTCCAACCATTTATGATGTAAAAGTTAGAGTTAAATATAAATTTTGGATTTTATATACTGTTGGGTAACAGTTGGCAAACTAACCTTAAAATATCTCCCATGATGACATGGTTTTGTTGTGCATGACTAGGTTGCAGGTTGTTCTATATGTGACTCACCATGCAAGCTTTGCAACACCCAAACTGGTCTGTACCTTGATCAATGAGATGAGTCCATTGATGTGTTTGGATATCACGGAATGTCAAATTGCTATAAAAATTTCTGAACACTGATCTCAATTTTTGTACTTATTACATGGCAGATTGGCAACAGTCTACATGCCATATTTTGAGTAGCACACTTGGTCCATTGGCAAGTTATTCCAACTCTTCTTCTATCTTCAGGGATAGAGGGGTTTCCGTGATGAGTGAGAAACTAGCTGAGGTGTTAGCTGAAGCTAAAGGGAACATTGAAGGAGTAGACCAAAAAAGTCATAAAATCTAATCATGGCCTTGTTGTTCTTTTGAAGTAACAAGGACATCTATCTACCCCAATTCTTTCCTCGTTTTGTCACATACATATTTATATATTCCAACTGACACCACTTTTTCTCTGCCCTCCTCCCAATCTCTCTCCTCATCACATAAAGGTTTGCTTGTGGTTAATTGAAAATTAGTCCATAGGCCAGGTGAGGTGGCTCATGCCTGTAATCCCAGCACTTTGGGAGGCTGGGGAGGGAGGATGGCTTAAGGCCAGGAGTTCAAGACCAGCCCGGGCAACATAGTGAGACCCTGTCTCTACAAAAATTTTTTAAAAAGTTTAGTCAATAAATATGTGGCGCCAGAAAGTAAAGAAGTGCTCAAAAAATAATGGGATGTGTCAGAAGGACACAGGAGCCAACTTAAAGGGGCTCCCAATGGCCAAATCTGGAACAACTGAGCAACAAAATAAATGATAGTAATAGATTATATTGCAGAGATTAAAACAAATATCCGTGAGTTTATGCTGATATAAATAATGGAATAAATGGGGAGAAGGAAAAGCTCTTCTTTACAGCAGAGCTCCAATTAATACGGAAGGAATGGTGGAAACAGAAAATCACCATTTATCAAATACCACAATAATGATTGTTCCAGGAAAAGAATTATCAATGGAAGCTAAAATTAATGGGTGAAAGTATGATAAAAACTGGGATATAAACAGTCTTAAAGTGTCTAATTACAAAGGAAAACAGTCACTTTATAGGGGAAAAACCCAGCAGATACCACCTTAACTAAAGTTAACATCACCGAAAGGGAGAAGTTGACATTATCTGCTTCCTGATAATGGACACACCACCACCACTTGAGTGGTATTCTTCCCAAAAATGCATAACCTGAATTTAATCATGAGCAAACATCAAACACCCAAATTGAGGAATAATCTGTAAAATAACTGGCCAATATTCTTCAAAAGTGAACTGTTGCAGATTAAAGGAAACTAAGGAAACATGACAAATGCAATGTGTGCTCCTGGACTGGATCCTGGTCTAGTAAAAGGACATTAGCAGGCCAGGCACTGTGGCTCATGCCTGTAATCCTAGCACTCTGGGAGGCCAAGGAAGAAGGATTGCTTGAGGCCAAGAGTTCGAGACCAGCCTCAGCAAGAGCGAGACCCTGTCTCTACTACAAATAGAAAAAATTAGCCGGGCATGGTGGTGCATGCCTGTAGTCCCAACTACTCGGGAGGCTGAGGCAGGAGGATGGCTTGAGCCCAGGAGTTTGAGGTTGCAGTGAGCTATGATGACACCGCTGCACTCTACCCAGGGCGACAGAGATAGACCCTGTCTCAAAAAAGAAAAAAAAAAGACATTAATAGACAATTGGCAAAATTTAACCAACATTTTCTCCTATTGCTTGCAAGCAAGAAACTGGCTAGTACATCCCAATGGCACAATCGTGGGTCCAAGCAGAGTTCCTTTAATTTAATACCATTATTATAGTTTATTAAGTATTCACTCACAAACCTTGTAACATGTTCCACCACTGAATGCTGATTTTCACAAACCTGGTATATTACCATCTCCATTATACAGATTAAGAACTTTGATTCAGAGAGATTAAGGGATTTGCCCAAGATTGTTCAGCTGGTAAGTGGTGAAGCAGTGAACTGAATTCATCTGTATGACGCTTGATGCATTTTCATCACAATGCTGCTTACTGATGGCCTTCTCTGACAAGTCTTTTTTTTCCCAAGAAACTACTGAATGTTCAGTCATTGTGTCATGGAAAGGCTAGAAATAACTACCTAAGTCCAAGGTTAGAAGGCTTAATGCCACTACATGACTCAGTAGGCATGGCCATTGACCCCAGTTCCTACATTGGCAATTGTTGGTTTTATCATCCATTAAAAAGTTATGGCTTCCATATTACTTGGTATCTAGGAAAATGGATTCAGATTATCATTCCTCCAAAAAAGATCTAGTCAAAGAAAATAAAAATCAATTCTACATTATTCCTAATAGAATTAGGCCATAAACAATATCTACCATATGGAATCTCAGATATTTTATAAGCTTAGTCTACCAATTCAGTGTAAAGTGATTGAGCTTTCTCTTTGCAATGTCAGTGGAATAGTCTGCTGCGAGACTGCCTTTCCTGCCTCTCACACAAATCTTGACACTGTGATTTATGTTCCTGAACAAATTAGACTTAAGAGCAAATCATCAGCAACAGGTATAATAATCTTGGCAGAACATTTATTTTAATTAATTGCCTTCTGCCTAACATAGATAGAAGGATGCTGATGCCATTTACCCTATAAGGATTAGTGCTATCGTGTAATTAATTTTTTTCTTCCCCTAGAACTTAAAGTCTCATCAGTTTTAAATTACAAAGGCATTGGTTTATTTCATATTTAATTATAACAATCTAACTTCTATGGCAATGTTTATAGAAGAAAGTTATGAAAGAAAAATGGATTCCAACTACTCTGTACCTTTATAGATTCTTGTTGCCTAAACATAGGCCCTGTTGGGTTCCATGTGGGTCAGAGTGGTAACTGTTTCAGGACTAGGCAGCTGAAAAACCCTCACTTCCAGAGACTTGGCAGGGAGAGGGGTAGAGGAGTGATTTTAGAAAAATGTAGTTTTTCTTCCTTGTGAAGTTGAGTATCAGCTTCCCCATTATTTATACTTCAGTGAGAAGCAAAAAGAAAACAATTTCTCTCCACTCTGGAGATTTAACACTGTAATTATCAAGGGCATCTTGCAACAAGTAGCAAAAAATGCAACTAAGTAGACTCCATCTTCTCAAACATGCCAAACTCAGTATTACTTAGAAATGATTTGATGATCTTTGGAAAGAAGAGGTAGAAAGAGCTAATACTAAACCTAAGGGGAGGTTCCCAGGGTCAGGGCTGCAACACTCATACTAAAATAATTTTGCTACATAATCATGAAATTAAAAATTCTAACACATTTTTTAAGAAATAAAATCATAACCATAAGCCTTTACCTTAGACAGTCCTTCACATTCTAACCAATTAGTTGCTTATACATCTTTAAAAATGTTTAGGAAAATTTAACCCTTTCCTACATAAAGTCAAGTGTAACTTTATCATACATGGTAATTAAATGCCCTCCTTATATTGTTACTGAATCTCAGGAGGCAGTGAGAATAAACGAATGTAAAAAAAAAAAAACCCAGCATGAATCCAATTAGTATAACGAAATAGCCAATCCTGATGAAATAAAAGCCTGTTTAGCTAGGTTTTTATAATATAAAATAGACTTAGTATTGAAACGACACAAATTTGGAATCATTGACTTTATTTGTCACTCTTTAAAGACATTGGTCCACTTCCACATGAAAAGTAGAATTCATCCACTTCCACTTAATATTCTATAGAATGAAGTTGTACCACAAACCATAGTAACCTACACAGGGAAAAAGTTACTGAAATAAAAATATTTTATATTCATGCCTCAAGATGTCCCCCAAAGATTTGTTTTTGTGTGTACAATTAAAAGCATCTATACTCCACAAAGCTAGTCTCTTCTTAGATCAATGTAGTATTTTTAATATCCATATTAGACCATATGGATCACCGGACTTGCAGAAGGTTAAAAAACAGCTATCCTCTGTCAATCGGATACAGTTCCAAAACTAAGCGATTGTGTAAGCACATCCATATTCTACGGCTGCTCTAAATTAAAAGCCTTTTTTCTTGTTTCAGAGATATTTACATCAAATTAAGACATTTACAAATGGTTCATAGTATACTACAGCCCAAATACAATTTTCACCTATCCTGTGTAAGGAAGTTAGGCATTCATAAGATTCTCTAATAAATTCAGTGCATTTTTCCAACATAAATAACACAAGCTATTCTAAGCGTTTTATATTTCTTTCAGTGCATATTTCCAAATTTATTAAATGGAATGAAATTGTTATTAAATGGCTATATCATAATATTTGAGCATATTATGGAATCTATATCACACAGTTCAATTCACATCAATACTATAATTCACTCTAAAAAAACATCACAGGCACACACAAAATAGAGAACAAAATTTGCTTTTTTTTCTTTATAAATTTAAAGTATACTATCTACTTTAAACCACACTAGGAGATATATTTTAATAAAACAGCCAAATTCGAAACTCCTTTTCTAAGTTTGGCATAAGGAAAGTTCAATCCATTCGAATCTTCTGGTTTGTCATCCTATAAATGATGCTATCATATCCAGGATCCATGTTCCAAATATTGTAAGAGGTGATAATCACAGCCAAGGCCAAGGCGATCATTATCCAAAGTACCATGTTGAAAACCACTGAATACTCAAAATTATACTTATATGCAAGGTTGTAGGGACTTGCTGTGTTTTTCTATAAAGAAGACAAGAAAGAAAAATGAAGAAGGAAGAATCTTAGGAAATTATCCCAGTTTAGTAGCTATGATTCATTTGTCTAACAAACATTTATTCCTAAGTGGAATAAGAGCTACTTATACTAGGAGAAACCAAGCCCTAAGAGGAGGCTTTGTGGAGCAGATACTTGGCACTGTTGGTAGAAGTAAAGACCAGTCCAGCTGCTTGAGAAAGTTTGGCAATACTTAAAAAAGTGAAGGTGTTCACATCCTGTGATCCAGTAAATCCGAGGGAAAATTTCCACATGTGTACCAAGAGACATGTACAAGAACCATCAACAGAATGGATAATTGTGGCATATCCATATGATGGAACGTACAGCAGTAAAATGACTGAACTACAGCTACGTTCATCAGCCTGAGTGAATCTTAAAAACAATACTGAGCAAACAACATAGAAAAATATATACAGTATGATTCTATTTATATAAAATTCAAATACAGGCAAAACCAAACAACATCATTTAAAGATAAATACATACGTAGTCAAACTAAAGAAAAACAAGGGAATATTAACATAATATTCAGGATAGCAATTACATCTGGATGGGGGAGGGTACAGGGATAAGATAGGGGAGCTTCAAAGGAACAAGTATTCTCTTAAGCTATATAGTATTGTTATTTTTATTCTTTTGTTTTTTTTTTTTTTTCTTTCTTTCCACTTGTCGCAGAGTGTCTTCCAATCACCAGCTACTGAGCAAGCTGGTAATGGAATGGGTACCTCTGCTAGGCTTGCTTTCCCTCCTGTTTCCGAAGCTGGTAGAATACTAGCCACTCTCCAGAAGCGATCCCAGGAGGTCTTTTTTTTTTTTTTTAAAGCCTACAGCACCCGGTATTCCCAGGCTGTCTCCCATTCAAGTACTAACCAGGCCTGACACTGCTTAGCTTCTGAGATCAGGCGCGTTCAGGGTGGTATGGCCATGGACTGTTTTCTTTTTTAAAGAGTCTTGCTCTGTCGCCCAGGCAGTGTGGTGGTGTGATCATAGTTCACTGCAACCTCAAACTCCTGGGCCCAAGCGATCCTCCCACCTCAGCCTCCCAAAGTGCTGGGATTATCGGCATGAGCCACTGTGCCAGGTTTATTTTTATTCTTTAAATAGTATTAAATGTTACATACTTATGTATGTATGAGCCACTTAATTTTTTTTAAACTTAAAGAGGAAAAACAAATGATGCTTAAGCCACGTCTTCAATCTTGAAGTTAAATCTGCCAGTCCTGGCAGGGGTGGAAGGGGAGGGTCGAATGCCGGCCTATGCAAAGGCATTGTTGAGAAACTGAATTCATTCGGCCAAAGGCATTGTTTGGGAAATTTCATTCTGGCTAGAAAATTTTAAAAGTAGGAAAATAGCAGGAGATGAAGCTAGAAGCAGGGAAGCTATTGAGAATTGGGACTTGAGCCTCTAGGCAATGAGACACTATTGACCAGTTTCAGGCAGGAAGTGAGTGATCAGGTTTGTCTTAAAAAGATAACTAACTGGGTGTGCTAGCTCATGTCTGTAATCCCAGCACTTTGGGGGGGCCCAGGCAGGGGGGCCCAGGAAGGAGGACCGCTTGAGGACAGGAGTTCAAGACCAGCCTGGCGACACAGTGAAACCTCATCTCTACAAAACACACACAAAATCTTAGTTGGGCCTCGTGGCGCACACCTCTAGTCCCAACTACTTGGGAGGCTAAAGATGGGAGGATCACTTGAGCCCAGGAGTTCGAGGTGACAGTGAGCTATGATCGCATCACTGCACTCCATCCTGGGTGACAGAGCAAGACTCTGTCTCCAAAAAGAAAACCCCAAAGCCTTGATGACAATGTGCAGGATGGATGTGGGAAGGGCCAGCCGGGAAGCAGGGAGACAGACAAGTTGGGAGGTGGTGGCAGAGTGGGGTGTGGTGCCTGGCAGTGAGGATGGAGAAGAGAATGTAACCTAGTTCTATTTGTCCCTACAGCCCTAGCACCTGGCATGTTGCCAGCACTCAGTAAACATTTTCTTAAACTCTTATCTCTCTCCTAAACTAGGGAAGATAGTGATTTCAACTGGAGGAGAGGATGGGTACACAGACACGTGTTTACCTGTGGGTAGCTTAGACACCCTGAAAGCCTCTTGGTAATGCAACTGGCAAATGTCCTTAGGGCAGCTTGCCTACTACATTCAGGTTGCTCTCCTTCATGTACTCTGTAAAAGAATTTCCCTTACTTTCTTTCTTTTTTCTTCTCAAGACAGGGTCTCACTCTATTGCCCGGAGTAGATAGAGTACAGTGTTATCGCATCATAGCTCACTGCAGCGCTCAAATGCCTAGGTTCAAGCGATCCTCCCACCTCAGCCTTCCAAGTAGCTCAGACTACAGGTGTACACCACCACGCCTGGCTAATTTTTCTATTTTTTGTAGAGACAGCGTCTCGCTGTGTTGCTCAGACTTGTCTTCAACTCCTGACCTCAGGTGATCCTCCCACCTCGGCCTCCCAGAGTGCTAGAATTACAGGCGTGAGCCACCGCACCCGGTCTCCCTTACTTTCTTGAGAGCTGAACTTTGCATTTTTTAAAAGGTGTTTATTTTAGATGTTTTATAGTGGGAAATTTTGGGGGGTTGTCTAGCCTGCCATGCTGTCTTAAACAGAGGTCCTTCTAGCCCAATTCAATTTAGGATGAAACAATCTCAAACCAGTCATCTCTTGACTATCTTAAATAGGCATTGGCTTCAACCTTACTCCAAGTCCCACACTTCCATCAGTAAAACTGAGGAGGGTGGGGGCTGCAAATGGGTCCAAAGGGGAGTGTATATAAATGACTAGGTATCTGACTCCTGCAAGTGACGAAGCCAACCGTTAAGTCATGTTCTTGGCCACATGACGTTATGGAGCATCTATACTACTCCTTTCCGTCACCCCCCCCCACCAAGTTTTCCTGCAGCTGTATGTATGTATATGTGCACGTACGTACACATACATGTTTTACCATGGCCAGCGACCTTGCCCTGAACTCTCGAAATGCTTAAAATCGAACTAAGATCCATACCAAAAAATTATTGAAGTAAATCAAAATTATAAAGAGGTATACATAGAGGACCCCAGAAAATGAGGTACTATGCCACAAAGACAGAGTCCCTCTACAAAAGCAGAGTCCACAAGATGAGAAAGCCACACCACTCCCTCCCATTAGCTTCTGATATCTCCTTGTATATACCAATATTTGAATTATCTTATTGGCTTTGACAGATTTACTTTTATCCCTAACTCAGATTCTTGCATTATCTGATTACAGCCCCAAAGAACTGAGTATCGCTGGCAAAACACACATACATACCTATGTGAATAATAAACCTATGTTTTAACTGAAACCATTTCTCAAATTTACTGACTGCTCATTCATGTCACCCACAGGTGATATAGGATTTCGTTTTCTAATAAAAAGTTAATTTTATAGTTTTAAAGCAGGATCTAAAAACATACTCACTGTTTGTTTTGTCTCAAGGATAGTCCTTGTCTTCCTCACAAGGGATGTGTCAAATGACTTGACAGTCACTAACTCTACCACTGCATTTCCACCATAAAGATTGTACATGTCATCTGCAAACTGAAAGTTAGTTATGAACATTATTATCAATCTCAAACACATACTTTTTTCATTTTTCAATCAACCGATAAAAATTGTCTATATTGTATACAACATATTCTGAAATATGTATACATTGTGGAATAGCTAAATCCACACTAATTAACATATGCGTTACTTTACTAATTTTTTGTGATGAGTCAAATACATATTAAAATTATTTGTAAAGCTTCTGTGCAGCTACAAGAACATACACTATGTCTCGAAATAGGCAAGTCTTAAAGGTTTATGTTAAAATGTTCAGAAAAGTGTTAAGCTTTAAACATATATTCAAATATTTAAAATACAATTACTTTAAGAAGAGACTGAATTTATCAGCATATAAATTGGGGGAAGGGAAGTTGGAAAGAAAAATGAAGAAATAATCACAAACGTCTACAAAGATTTAAATATGAGGCCTCACTGAAGAGTGGCAGGTGAACAACTTCAAGGGCAGAGGAGAACTAGCATTTATTATGCATCTACTAAATGTCTGGTACTGTGTTAGATGTTCTACTTCAATTATCTCGTAGTGTTTAATGGGTACAGAGTTTCAGTTTGGGAAGATGAAAAAGTTCTACAGGCCGGGCGTGGTGGCTCACGCCTGTAATCTTAGCACTCTGGGAGGCCGAGGCGGGTGGATCGCTCAAGGTCAGGAGTTCGAAACCAGCCTGAGCAAGAGCAAGACCCTGTCTCTACTAAAAATAGAAAGAAATTATTTGGACAACTAAAAATATATATAGAAAAAACTAGCCGGGCATGGTGGCGCATGTCTGTAGTCCCAGCTACTCGGGAGGCTGAGGCAGTAGGATCGCTCGAGCCCAGGAGTTCGAGGTTGCTGTGAGCTAGGCTGACGCCATGGCACTCTACTCCAGGCAACAGAGTGAGACTCTGTCTCAAAAAAAAAAAAAGAAAAAGTTCTACAGAAGAATGAAGGTGATGGTTGCACAACATGTCAACTTAATTCCACTGAACTATACACTTAAAAATGGTAAGTTTTATGTTATATATATTTTGCCACAATAATAACAAAAAAATACTGTGCTAGAGTTACCAGTCCTTTCCTAATGCTGCCCCTCCCAGCATTAGGAAGAGATATCCCAATATACACCTTTGACCTTATGCATGCTTGGCCACCATAATTAGAAGACCCTCAAAGAAGGCAAGCAAGACTTTAACCAACATTTCACAAAGCAGATTTTTCCATTAAGAGGCTGTAAGTGAAATGGTCATACTCCAATCTCTCATATCACATGGATATTTACCTTTTGCAGAGCATCAACAAGGATCTTAGAAGCATCTCTGAATTGTTCAGAGTCTTCTCCATAACGTTTCCCAATTTCATCCAAACCTGCTAGCTCCAGTGAATATAAATCAGGAGAATGATCCTTGGCTAGATGCTTATGACGAGACAACTTTGGAGAACAAACAAACAAAACGTAGCAGATAAAGTAAGATGTCAAACACAGCCAGTTTAAGTTTTATGCCTAACTAAACTAGGCTAAACATAACCATACCAATGTGCCCCATCATATAAATAGTCTAAAATGGTGGCAAATGGAACTACTTTAAATGGGAGCTTCTAATAAAACAAATCCAACACAAATCTCATTTTTAGGAGCAGTACGGGACTCCCTGAGTATTTGATAAAAGCTCTTAACAAAATTCTTTAATTTTAAAAACTCACATATGGGTCAGGGTATGAAAGAACAGCTGGTTGGACCGGTTTGATCCCAGGAATGCATGGGCCATCAGTGGTCAGAGAGTAGATACCTCCCATATGTCCTCCCAGACCACCTTACAGGCCCCCCTACACTTCCAGACTCCCCAAACCAATTCCTGCTGAAAAAGTTTGGGAAACAACTTCGGAAGACAGAAAACAGGTGAGAATTTCTATTTCAGTCACAAGGATGATTTTTTTTAACACATTAACTGCCATGTGAGTTGTCTTTAATGCACGCTAGTTTTGAGCCCGGGGCCTTATGAAGCACATGTAAATCACACATCTCTACCTTGGGAGCTGCATGAACTATTTTTCAAGTTGCATATAACTCTATAACTCACACATAGAAAACAATAAAAAATAACAAATTTTTTCATTAAATTAGAAAGGGTCATTTTGTTTTCAAAGTTTTTATTCTATTTTCATAATAAGACACTACTGGCCCCAAGGAAATTTTTTTTTTTTGGTGTGGCAGTTAATGTGTTAAAAATCATTCACCAGAAATATACCTTTCAGACAGATTTATTCCCTTCTTGACTTGGCTAATAGTATTATTAGTACAAACTGTTATTTCTATTTTATACTCAAAGATATAGATATAGAAATTAAGTCTTAATGTCTGATAAGAAATCAACAGCCAAGTTAGGACTACATCCAGGGTGTTCTTATTCCTAGGCTTGTCTTCTTAGAGGATATACTATCTCTCCAAAAAGTAAAAATGTAAACTAATTTGACTATGAGATGTGTTTAAAATTCCCAACACCACCATTAATTTCTCAGTTTTCATGGGATCATAAATCTAGGGCATACTTAATCAAACTATTCAAATGGCTTCACTATCATCCAAGGATTCTCTAGGAAGCGAAATAAATGGAACTGAAAAATTAGAGCATTCTACTTACCAAACTTGAAATATCATGTAGTACTTGTAGTTCAGAAAGAAAGAGCAAGTCAACCTTCAAAGAGCCAAAAGAAACGAGCATTCCTTTAAATGTGCATCAAAGATCTGTATTTGCCATTTACCAAGTAAAGGACAGGATATTACGAATGTCAATCACATAAGTGAATTTATATAATTTTCCTTCATTTGGTAGGTTCACTTCAATTGAAAATGCATATAACACATCGTTTCCTAGCAAAAAGGTGATGGACATTCCCTACCATAGTGACTACCACTAAATAGCTGCGTTTTTGATAAAAACCATGATAAAGGCCGGGTGCTGTGGCTCATGCCTGTGATCCTAGCACTCTGGGAGGCCAAGGTGGGAGGATAGCTTGAGCTCAGGAGTTCGAGACCAGCCTAAGCAAGAGAGAGACCCCATCTCTACTAAAAACAGAAAAAATTAGCCAGGCGTGGTGGTGCGTACCGGTAGTCCCAGCTACTTGGGAGGCTGAGGCAGGAGGATCGCTTGAACCCAGGAGTTTGAGGTTGCTGTGAGCTAGGATAACACCACGGCACTTGCCTGGGCAAAAGAGTGAGACTTTGTCTCAAAAACAAAAACAAAAACAAAAAACCACAATAAAGCATCCAAATTCTACAGTGGTTTTCCCTCAAGGCGTCAGGATATCCTAGCACAATGCAATGAGATCCTGCCAATGGCCCAGTTTGCTCACTTCCCTTGCACACTTTACATATAGGAGAATAAAGATAGTGGTCCTGGTCATCCATATGAGATAAAGACTGGTGAGGCTGCCACTAAGGTGGCATGCCATGTGGTTAAGAGGGTGCATGGGCAGGTGGTGAAGCTGAAAGACAAGAGTGAAAAGGACAGGAGGCACTGGACATGGTGGCTCACCCTGTAATCCCACACTTTGGGAAGCCAAGGTGGGAGGATCACTTGAGGTCAGGAGTTCAAGACCAGCCTGGCCAACATAACAAGACTCCATCTCTACAAAAAATTTTAAAAATCAGCCAGGCATGGTGGCATGCACCTGTAGTCCCAGCTACTCAGGAGGCTGAGGTAGGAGAATCGCTTAAGCCCAGGAGTTTGAGGCTGCGGTGAGCTATGATCACATCACTGCACTCCAGCTTGTGTGACACAGTGAGACCCCGTCTCTTTAAAAAAAAAAAAAAAAAGAAAAAGAAGGGGTGACTCCCTCCACTGTAGTATCTAGGGATGGATGAGGAAAAACGTGGCAACATGACAGCAGGGGCAGTGAACAATGGCTCCCACATTATCAGATCTACACAG